ACAGTTTCAATAATTAACACATTGCATACTGTCTTCCTAGTGGTTATTTGCTGTACAAGATGCAGACATGATATCCTATTTACAAACACTATTAGAACAAACCCCTCTATTCATTAAGAGAATGCAGCTATATATCTATCCCAACCATTTTGAATAATATCTTGTTTTCTTGAATCCTTACAGCAATCCTCTCCATTTTATGTATAATTCTTAGACACTAGAATGGGGATGCAAAGCCAGGTATGGCAGGGAGCGTAGCTGGCACTCAGAGTGTGCAGAATGTGGCCTTCATAGCCAAGCTTGGGCTTGGCGGAGCTCAGCTGCGGAGTCCGCGATCAGCTTTTTGCCTTACAGCATGAGAACAGGGGAGGTGAGTGCTTCCCCACCCCTGGGCTGCAGCACAGAATGAAACACTCTGTGGTGAGAAGTGTGCAGGCAAGAATCCTCCCCTTCATTCAGGGCCTTCAGTGCCTGCGATTTTAGGAAATGCACTCAGGCTTTGTCCATTTCTTCCTTTACCCGTTAAACACAGTTACGCAGCTTGCCTGGTCCACTTCATTAAAAATTTACCACAGTAAACCAATCACTTAATTAGTTCTTTTTTTTTTTTTTTTTTTTTTTTGCGGAACCGGGGACTGAACTCAGGCCCTTGAGCTTGCCAGGGAAGCACTTATTCCACTGAGCCATCTCCCCGGCCCCCCAATCACTTAAAATAACTCCTAATTACTTGGCAAATGGCATGAGCCAGGGCTCGGGTCAATTCTTCACCAGCATTTCTTCACCTGTGCTCACGAGTTCCCGCAGCTAGGACCATTACTGCCAGGAGATAACAGACAAGACAGCAAGGTTTTGTGCAGTTCAAAGAGCCGCATGCATGGAAAGGTTTCTGGTTGTGGTTTTGTAGGAAGCAGCAGCATCTAGCTCAAAGAGGAGATCATAAAAACAAAATCTCAGAAATGACTAGAAAAAGAGAGGCTGAGGTCCAGCATGCATAGATGCATAATTGGGAACCAGGTAAAATTAGTGAAGACTGAGCCATGGAGACAATTTTAAAGAGAAGCAATGTTGGCTACCTTAAAGCAGGAATAACTGAATTTGGGGTGATCTCAGTTCTGCTTTTAAGGGAGAATGTATCAGATCTAAAACAAATTGATCTTGGCTAACAGCTTTGAAACTTTATCTGCCCCGAGAAGTTGGACACGTTTCAGAGTATTTTAAGTCTCAAGGAAGTTATATTTTCCCTTTACCTTCTATCTCACTTTTATAGCCACTTGCAACCTCCCCAAGATGAAAAAGATGCATAACCGGATTTGCATTCCTTACTGCACTAGGACTGCTGCAAGCAAGCCGTCCAGAACTGACTTGTTAGCAATATTATTAGACGTCGCAATCGTTTTCCTCACGGGGCAAAACGCCCGGAGGGGAGAGAAGTCACCTGCCACTTTCTAATGTCATTTAATCTTTTTAGTCTGTCTGAGCTGTAAACTGTCAATCATGGTGAATGTTTAGTCACCTTGAATGCTGTTTAATCAGGAGAATGCTTTGTACATGGCTAATACCTGATGCCACCGGAATTAAGTCTTCATGATAATTACCCCACTACACCGTTTGACATCATTACTCACAGGCCAGGCCAAACCCATTTGTAATCTCTCAGGGTTTTTCGGGAAGAAATGTTTCATTACCGTTCTGTAACTGGAACGGCTGCTTCACTCGGAGAGCACAGGTAACTGAAATCTGCACATGGGGCTTTTACAAACATCTGTCTTTAAACACGGCTGCTGACAGGGTAATGATGAGGGCGTGAACTGACTGCCAAGTGCAAAAGGGAAGACACAGGAGCAGCGCTGGCTCAGTAGGTGAGGTTCATTCCCAACTTATACAGGCCACCAGAAAGGGACATTTCTCTAAAGAGAGGAAAAAAAAGGTTATGAACCACGCACCGTCGGCTAATTGTTCAGGTCTCTGTGAGTCAGGATATTCTTTACATGGATCCTGCCTGATGTTTTCCTTTCCTCTTTCACTCCTTTTATTCATTTTCTAAGTTATGTGTACAACTTCATACTAGTTTTATAAGGAAAAATATAAGTCTGTGTATTTATATGAATCACATTAAAGCCATCATGGTTTGGTAATAGTCCATAAAATAAAGATACAGTGGGTTTAGCATATTGTTCTGTTGAGGACCAGGAAAACCCAGGTGGAAATGGTGCAGAGTATGTTCTGTTAGTGTGTGAAGTTGTCATTCATTCTCTCTCTCTCTCTCTCTCTCTCTCTCTCTCTCTCTCTGTCTCTCTGTCTCTGTCTCTGTCTCTCTCTCTCTCTCTCTCTCTCTGTCTCTCTGTCTCTGTCTCTGTCTCTCTCTCTCTGTCTGTCTCTCTCTCTCTCTCTCTCTCTCTCTCTCTCTCTCTCTCTCTCTCTC